GTTGAGCTGGATCAACCGCATATCTTGCTGCGTTGACCGACCCTGCTGAACGCGGCCGTGCAGCTTTTGCTGCCTGCCTGGTGCCTGGACTCCTTCTTTCCCGCTGCCGAGCAAATGAAGCATGATGGCTCGTTTGTGCAGGCTGCGGCTTTGTGCCCCTGCTCGCCGCATTTAATGCAGCAGCCACTCCTATCCGTTGTGCTCCTGCAGCTGCTCGCGATGTGCCCCGGTTCCAGGCATCTGTAGCACCTCGGAAGTCCTTCTCTCTCGCGGATCCTGCAGACTGTCCATCCGATCCGCACCTGTCCCCGCTGTATTACAGCTTTGCCCAGGGAAACAGGCAAGCTGACTACAGCCGTTTGGGACTCCGCGTAGCCGCGTCGTAGGCTTCTCACCCTGACTCGTTCCTCCTCTATCGCGAACTGGCTCGCGATGGCGGTACATATCTCGCTCTCTGTCGCGAGGGAGTCGAGATCGCGGATTTCCAAGGCGACCACCTTCGATTCCTCTGACAGCGCTCGCACTGCCGCTGCGTCGCCAAGTACGCGGGCGATGCTCTCCTTCATGGTCTCAGCGCTCTCTGAGCTGTCTTTTGCCACCTCCAACAGAAGATTGCCGTTGAAGGTGCGGCGTACCCTGGAAACGCAGCTTCCCAGGTCCGACAGCTGGTTGTCCTCCCTCCTGGTCACCATGGCCAATACCTCGCTGTACGTCTTGCCGCCAGCTTGCACTACGACCGCGTCGGGGCGTGCGCGGTGCGCTATCCTCGTCTTCTTGGCCACCACCCTCCACTCGCTGTCGTGGTTCTCATGGCTGTCTCGCTGGCTGGGGGCTTTGTGCGCCGCCTTCTGTTCGTGTGCCTTGCTCTGGGCCTTTTTCGGACGCTTCGTGTGTGCGCCTTTGAGACCTGCTGGGCGCATAAGCGTGGGAGCCTGCTCCCCAACAGGGCCATCCGACACAACCGGCTGGCTTAGCCTTCGCCACGGCTCGGTTTGCGATGCGGCATCCTTTTTCCAGACGGTCGTTGTCTGCTGCTCCTTGTCCGCGCTCTGAATGCTCAGTGCGCATTTCGAGCAGAGGACTACGCCCTCCATGCCCTCCTGCATGTCGCTTCTACCCGCTTCGGCCGCCTGGTTAGAATCCTGTATGTCCGAATGCAGCTTCTTTATACGTACAAACAGGCTTCTGGTCGCCTCATTGATGTGGCGCGTGCTCTTGTCCAGCATCCTGGATGTGATCTCCTCCAGGAGTCTACCCAGCTCCGCTAGGTTCTGCTGACCGTTAGCTTCCTGCGATGCCTTGCTCTTCTTTGGCGGTGTCAGTCTCTGCGAGCTCGCCGGGCTTGCGGGGTCCCTAACCCTTTTGGGGGTCTCTTTGGGGTCAACCTCACAACCCTGAACGGCTCCTGGCGTTGCCTGGAGTACCGGCGATCGGATGAGATTGCTCCTCATTACGACCACCGAAGCATCGGCTTTCCTCCCTTCTTCCGGCAGTTGGCGCGGCGATCTTGCCAGCGCCGATCTGCCCACGAACGGGTTTCCCGTGTCCATATCTCGTTTATGCTCTACTTAGCTACGCGGTCCGCACTTGTGGGCTCCCTCGCTGGCCTCGGATTTCCCCTTGGCTTCTCGATGGGGGATATACCGCCCCTTCCCCGGTCCCCGACGTCCCGTTGACCGGGACACCGCCTGAGCGGGGGATCGGAGTGTGGTCGGATCCGTGACCTTTTCCCACTGCCCCTCGTGCAGACTATCCAGGCCTAGAAATTTGGCCTGGAAATTTGTAGCTTTTGCGCCACCTTATCCCCTTTGCGGTCTTGCAGTTACCTGCTACGTGACAGCTGCCGGCGGTGGGGTATCGATATATCGATATATCGGTATGCGCAAGCTCGCTTGCGCTCCCCACCACTAATTAGCGATCAGCTGCTCGCAACAAGCAAAGAAGATTGCGAAAATGGGAAAAATTGTTTTTGCCTTCCCAAAGAAGAGAGCGCGAAAAACCCGTGGCCTCCTCGCCTCTCCTCCCCTCCTCTGTGTATGGAGCGGCGCCCAGCGACTGGATTCCGCGCCGGGAGACTCACCCTGAACGCGTGTGTCGGTCTGGCTCGGTACGTACCCCTTCCTGTCGGGCACCTTCTCACTTTTACCTTTTTCCAGGCAGTTTCACGCACGGAAAATGAATTAGACGCTGGAGGAAAAACAAGCGCGTCCGTTCGCTTTCACTCTTCACTCTTCACCTGCCGTCTCATGTGTGTGTGTGTGTGTGTGTGTAAAATATTTTGTTTAACGTTTATAGTTTTATGCACTTAAGATAGCAAAATATTTTCCTTCTCCTCCAGTTGAATTTATTTTCGAGTATCAGGCACAGAGCTTAAGCCAAAAGCAAAACTTTTGCCAATATTTGAAAAAAATATATTGATTGGCCTGAGCTGAGCGCGGGTAAGTGCAGGGGAAGTGTAGAACACACACACACACACACACACACACACACCAGCAGAAGGGTATATTTGAACACCCAGGCATTAAGGCAGATACACCCCAAGGGACCATATATTAAGGCTTTTTGCTTCGAATTAAAGGTTTCAAATGAGTCAAGGAGGAAACAAGATAAATAAACATAGGGAAACTTCTTACAGTGAGTCTCTTTTGCACTAGTAGCAACTTGGAATCTTCATGGGTAACCCCACCGTAAGAGCATTTCATATTCCATATCAGAATTTGTGTTTTTGCTCGTCGCTTGTCTTTGCCTCTGCCCTCTCATATGCAGCAGGGCTCCCTGCTGCATCCACATCGTCGCTCAATTCTTTGGGCAAACATGGGGTATAGCTCTGCCACGCCCACTGCCACTTCACCGCCTTCTGCAGCTGCTGCAGTAGTCGTAGTGAAATTTTTGGTAGCTTCTCGTGCATGATAACAACTCCGTGTAAGTGTGTGTGTGTGTGTGTGTGTTTTTGTGTGTGTAGCAACACACAGTTTGAGAGCCATCGATGCGAAGTGCAGGCGAAGACTCTTCCGGATATCCCTACCCCTCTCTCGCTATGACTTCGGCACCGGCTCCCGCTCTGCGGCAGTGGCTGTGGCTTGGGGCAAAGGTTATATTTGTTTTCTGTTAAATGTTCAAATATATTATTGCAACATGCAGGAGAAAAGACAGCAGAGAGAGGGAGCTGGAGCACTTGCAGACATCCTCGAATTCGTATTTACATGCAAGCAGGAAATTGTGCTACACCCGCCACACCCCCTCTTCCAATCAACTTCCTCTCCTGCTCGACCGTCTGCATGTTAAAATATTCAAACAAAAACGTTATGAAAATATGAACTGTGATGTTTATCGATTGTGAAATATGATATGCTCTAGGGATCTGGGCGGGGAGTTGGTCGGTCTCAAAGGGAGACACCCCACAACACAGAACACACACACAGCACACACACACAGCACACACACACAGCTGCATGGTTGCATGGCTTTTAATTTGTTAGCACAATCCCATTGGCAGCCCGGGCGGCGCTGCTGACAGGGATCTTTCCTACAACTGATGCTTGTGTGTGTGTGAGTGTATCTGAGTGCTTGTTGGAGTGTTTATTTTGGTGTTTGCATGCCGTGTTTGTATGTTTGTTTGCGTGCAAGCCAGACCAGCGGCAGACTTCAACCCGAGCACAGTCCAGACATGTCCAAAGGCAAAAGCCAGTCCCGGCCAGTCAGCCCATACCCAATCCCTATCAAAGCCATATCAGAACGAATCCCAGCTGAGCATTCCGCTCCGAGCAATTTGCAGTGGCAATTCCTTTTGCTGGCTAATAAATATTAAAGTTTAATTAAATATGTTTTTTGTTCGACGTTTTATGGGCATATCGATTGTGGGGGGAATCGGCGGCACAAAGTACCCACCAAATCCCCACCAATGCAATCGCAATGCAATTTCGCTGCTGGTCAACTCTCCTCCAGTGCCGGCTCCATAAATTTTCAACCTTGAGGCGCCGCCGCTGCCGCTGCCGCCGCCACCCAAAGCCAAACGAGCCAAAGGCCATTAAAATACGTTTCCACTTTTTTTTCTACTTTTTTTTCTACTTTTTTTTCTACCACTTAACATGAAAGCGGGGAAAAGGGTGTGGAGCGGGGATAGGGAGGGGGGAGTTCGGGACATGGGCTAAACTAAAACTCATATTAAAAATTGACTTTTATCGTGATTTACAATCAAGTTGGCCTTTTTTAAATGCCGTGGTCGACATGCGGGTTGCCTGCCCCAGCCCCAGCCCCAGCCCACAGCATTGGCTCGAACCCGACTCGGCCTGGTTTCCCCCAGTAGCCACTACCAACACTATTCGCCTGTTGTTGCTGTTGCGGTTGCCCCACACACACACTGAAATCTGGGCCGGAGAAGGGCTAAAATATTTCTTCGTGGCTTAGCCCGGACGGGAAAACATATTTAAGCCGAATGCTGACGCCCCGATTCTCCATCAGCAGGCAGCAGGCAGCAGGCAATGTGTGCAGCGTCCACGACACGACACGTGGTTTGGTTGGGCGTTGGCAGTCGGTAAATCCCCTTAACCATGCCCCACCACTACCACCACCAAATACACACTGACATCCTTGAAGGCGCTGCCTCCACTATCTGCACTTCCATTACGAGTAGGAAATCCCTTTCGAGCGTAGGTTTCTTTTCTGTTCTTTTTTTTTTTGCTTGTGTCTTCTTCCACCCTTCATATTTCCTCACACGTAATTCTATTGGATTTCCTCTGTGTCGACACATCGACTTGGCCTCTTGACTTTTACTTTGGTCAGCGCCCTGCTCTGGGAGGGATTTTCTTCCTTTTTTTTAATTTGCCCAAGGAGTGCTCTCTGGGCCATTATCCTTGGTTGGGTGCAAAATGTTTGCCCATCAACATTAAGAGATAATTTTAAATAGCTTTAATAAATTATGGTAAGCTGAATTTTAATTGTTTTTTGCATACCCTGGAGGCGAGATTAAATGTATTTTCACATTTCTGTATCATCCACAGAGACTGCAGAGTGGTGCGTGATCCGCAGACGTTGAAATCAAAGGGATATGGCTTTGTCAGCTTTGTCAAGAAATCGGTAAGACAACGTCAAATCCTTGCAACATCAAAAGCTGAGCATTACGTATTCCAACAGCAATTAGAAATGTTTCAATCAAACTCGCATTAGTAATCCCACCCTCCCAGCCCAAGTTTAATTTTCTAAGTAACCAGTAACAAGTCTGCCCGGCCCTTGGCTTACCAATGAAATGAAATCTTAATTAAAACAATCTGAAAGTTTGGCTAGCAGCCAAGGCCAGGATGACAAGCCTCCTGGCAACTTAACATATCAAAAGACACCTGTGGCTTTTGTTTTTTGCTGCTACCTTTGTAAAAGACTTAAGCCCGGATTGCCTGTGGGCGAGTATTTTGATTTTATTTTCTATCAAATGGACACACTCGTATATTTAACGAAGGATGGATGGATCCTTTGGCCATTTTCTAGGGGAGTCACGCATTGGAAACTGATTTTTTATGACCGCAGATGCAGCATATCCCACGGTTAAAGGCCCAGGAGCAACCCTTGAGATATTCTGTAAACATTTACACATCATATTCAATATGTTTAAACCGTAACTGATAAGGGTCCAAATGGGGAAAGCAAACCAAACCGCCTCTGGCAAGACTTCCTTCGCGTTTCTGTGTGTGTGTGTTGTATCTGTGTTATGTGATTGAATTTCATGTGCTTAATAGGTAGAAAATTCGACAAAGCGCAGACTGTGAGTGGGGGAGGCAGCATCAAAGACAGAGCCAAACGAATTGCGTGTCAGCCAGTCAAGCAGAAAAAATGCGCAAGCTTAAGGCTTAAGGCAACATGGCCAAAACTGAGAGATACTTTGCGGTAAAAGCCAAAGACTTAAGCCAAATCAATGCTGCAGTCAGTGGCAGCGACTTTCCGACTCTGACTGAGACTCTGACAGAAGGCGTAAAGGCCAAAGGTGCTGCAAGTCAATTAGGCGGCAAATGTTCAAAATTATTAATTAAATTTTCATGCTAATACCGCAAACTGTACGCCAGACCAATACCAGCGATAAGCGAGGCACAGCTGCGAGGCGTAGGTTGCCCGGCTGGCAGGTCGTGTGCAAATACATCCTAATCTCTGACACTTGTAGGCTACCACGCCCACACCCACACCCACGCCTGCAGCTGTCATTCAAATATGTTTATGTCTATGTTCAAGCCAAAGTCGAAGTCAAAGCCGTTTGGGAACTGACTTGTATTTGATGGAATTATAGCCCCGACCAATGGCGCGTATACTTAATGTGTGTGTGTTTGATCACTGACAGAGGGTATTATGATTTTCAGCACATTTTATCCAAGCAGCGGAAAAAGTATCGAAAGTTTTGAGATTAGGAAATTTGTCTGAATTTATTATCTACTTTTTCATTAGGTGCTGTGACTGTTTGAAATTTGCAATACATTTTTCGGTAAGCAGCATAATGCACCATGCAACCTGCAACATGATGTATATTAAGGCCAATGTGTGCGGAAGGCTTTTTAATTTAAGTGCACATGCACATGACAGGGAAGGGAACAACACCAGAATCATAAAAGATACATCTGAGGCAAGTGTGTGCGTGTGGGGGCGAGTGGGTTAACCACTGGCATTGTGAGTGTGCCGCGACAACAACGGTATCAACGGCAACAATAACAACAAATGATAATAATGCAACAATGAACCGCACAAGAAGATGATGAAAAGAATGGGGCAGCATGCAGCATGCAGTACGTAAGCCAATGCCACTGCCACTGCTGCTGCCACTGCTGCATCTGCTGGTTGAAGGTGGTTGTGAGGGTGCACCGGCAAGTCGACATTATATCTTGTTCGCTGCACACATTGTCAATTCGTTTTCGTTGTCGTTCCAACTGTTGTTGTTGGTGTTTCCTTTTCTTTCTTGCTTGCGTCGTGGCAACTTTTAAATAAATTTAAGTGCATTATACAACGAAAAATAAGTAATAGTGTGATGTCTGGGCAGGCAGAAGAGTGCAACTGAGGACGGGGAAAAAGGCAGCGACAGGGAGAGTAATGCGATTAAATGCAACTCAGGCCCTGGTGCTGGTGCTGGTCCTGCTACTGAGCCTGCCTTTGTCTCCATAATGCGGGCAAATCAGTTTTGCGTCGAAAGGAAAGCCGGGCCTTTCATGGGCGGCGGCGGCGCCACACCACTCAAGATGCAGGAACAGCCTGAGTTGTTTTCATGCAATAATATGTTAATATTCGCTGGAAGTGTGACAATAGCAGAAGCCGACAGTCGAGAGTCGTGTGTGTGTACAGCAGGACATTAGCATTTTGGGTGGAGCTTACACCGTTCCTGCTACCGTTTCTGTTCCTGCCAATGTTGCTCCTCAGTGGCTTTCTTGGGCCTTACTCCAGTTCCTTCGCTTGTGGTTTCAGTGTCTCCTTTGAGGCCTGATTCTATTTTTTTTCTCATGTCTTTTGAGGCTTTTGTTCCTGGTTCTCTCTTCCTGTTGTTGTAGTTCCTGCTCCTTCGCATGTCGCTGTCTCTTCTCTGGCTTCGACATGTTTATTGCGTTTAATGTTTGCGCAAATTTTTGCCCGTACTTGTCGTTGTTTTTTTTTTTTTGTTTCTTCCTGTGATTTATGATGCTAATGACACGCCGGCAGCTCCTCATGCAAATGCTCAGCTCAGGCTTGCCTTGATGGTTATTAAATTATGGCAATTTGTATGCGTCGTCAACGGTTGCTGGAACATACGGATGGGATGGAATGGGATGTGAAGTGAAGATGCGCGAGATATACTTTTGGCCCCACTGTTTATTTAAAACATGTTGCCAAACAATTTGCGTTAAATATTTTTGGAGATTCTTTTTGTGTTGTTTGGTGACGGCTTGAGCTGCTTTTGGCATTTTGTGTAGGAATGGGCTTTGTGGGAAAGCCTTGGCGATTGGCAAAAATGCCATAAGCTCCGGCAGCGGAAGTGCAAAATGAAAGAAAACTGTTTCTTCGTTTTCCGCTGCTTGCTTGCAGTTCAGTTACCAATCCCAATGCACACACATACATAATATATCCCCACTCTTTCTCCGTGTGTGTGCAGTAAGCCATTCGAAAAATAACTTTTCAATTTCCGCAAAACCACAGAAAATATCAACTTTGCACAAAAATTTAATAAAACTTTTCGCATAAATAAAATTTGCATTAAATCAGCTGCAAGCGACAGGGCGTTGTGGGCAGGGGCGTGGCATATCGGCTTAGGCAAGCCAAGTGAGTGTGTGTTGGTGTTTGCGAAACGCATGTCGAGAAACTTAATTGGAAATATTTGAGTTTGCCATTTGGCCTGTGTGTTTGTGTGTCTGTGTTTGTGCCTCTGTCTTCCTCTTTGGGGGTTTGCATTCAAACTAATCGAGAAAGTTCGAGAAATTGGAACCACTCCTCCCCGTGCACACACTCCTCTCCCCTGTCGTTGGATTGGCATCCAAAGTGCATCATAAATAGATAACCAGCAAGAAATTATAGATAGTATTTCAGGTCGGTCGCTCCTGAGGCGGATGCATATAAAAACTTTGACTGAGAATTTATTTATCATATATTTAACCCTGTTTAACCCTTGGAATATCATTAGATTTATCCATTCCTCTTCTTTCTATGTTCATTCTACAAGTTATTGTGGCAATTCCAGTTGTTCAACCACAAACGTAACTTTAACCTTCCCTTTAAGGCAGAGTGACTCTCTCCATGCGCTTCCTGATTTTCAATTTATTTATTTTCAAACATTCCGGCCATAAATTCTGTGAAGCATACAGAACACTCGGTGAGGTTATAAATATAAATGGCCTGGACATTCATTTTATGCTTTCCATAATAATTCAGAAACTAGTGATTTGAGGACTAGGGCCATAGGGACAAACTGCCTACACACGCATAAGCCATGGGAAACCCTAAAACAGAACAGACCCAGACCCCACACACAGCTATAAAAAACCATTCAATGGATGCAGGGAGTGATGCCGAATGGGAAACAAGGGCAAAAACTGACATACATAAATAAATCCCATGGAATTATGTCTTGACAAAAGTGCGTTCTAGCGTGAAATACTGATTTTTGCTACCCGCCGCTGCCCATCCACAATTTTTGGTTGTGCCTCTGATGTGTGACCGTTCAGGGCAGTGGCAGTGTCGGGAGGGAATGGTCAAAAATCGAAAATCGTTTTGGCCTAAGCAAAATGAAAACAGTTTTTACCGTTGACTGGACCGCACCAGACAGTCAGTTGGATGACTACGGATTCTCGCTGCCTTTCTTGGCCGCATCATCATCGATGTCTGTGTCTCTGCCTCTCCATTTCCAGCAATGTCCTGCTCTTTGGAATGCGACAAATGCGAGTGTGCAAACGATTTGCCACTTGAGTTACTTTCAAAATATCAAAAAATCATCATCAGAAGTCGTACAATTGCTACGGGCAGGAGGTGGCGCTTCCTTATCTCTCTTTAATATTCAACTGGGGAGCTGGAATGACGTGCAGTGTACCCTCTGATACCGACTTTCACGCTTATCTAAATAGCCACGTTAATGAATCTGACCGAAGAACAAAGCTAAACCGGCTTAGCAGTTCGTCCAGGCAAAAACCTTTTAGTCGGAATGGCCCAAAAGGGACTAAATACTTGGTGTCTCTTGCTACCTTTTTAAGAACAAAACGCTCTCCCCCAAAAAAGAAAAGGAAGAACATTCTCCAAATGTGTCGGATTATCCCCCTTTCTGTGTGTGAGGGTTTGGGGTTGGGGTTTGTCCTTTTTTTTTCTTTTTGCACCTTCTTTTGCTACAGTTTGTCCTATTCCGGTTGGCCTTTTTTCGCTTAGGCACAAAACCATTTCCTTATTGTTTTAATAAACATTGAAAATGTCTTGCTCTCGACTTACGGCTGTATACAACACGTCAGCCACAACCAGCACACCACCATCATCCCGTCCTATCCTGTGCCCCCATTTTGTGGCATGCGAAATTTTCGTTCTTGGGGTTTTCAGGGTTTGGGGAAGGTTTTGCTTGGGTCGATTCCAGCGAGAGATCCACATGAAAAGTATGACAAAACCCTTTTAAACCACTTAAAAATTCTTCAACTTACTTTTGCTTTTCTTCATTCGCTTAATGAAGGTATTTCGCCATTTTGTTGGTTTTGTTTCTTAAGACTTTAGCCCTGACCCGCACACCCACACCCACACCCACACCCAGACCATTACCATCTCATGCCCGACTCATTTCCGCTTTCGACCATGGTAAGGGGAATGGGGAATGGGGAATGGCAGTGGGAGGACTATTTCCAGCATTAAAGGATTCTGCGCCTTATCAAGTAATCAATATTTACTGAAGGCCCAGTCTCCGGCTCAAAGTTTTTGGCTGCCAAATTGAATCTGTACGGCAGAAATGTTCTTAAATTTTGTGTAGCCAGCCAAAAACTTTTTCCCGCCATCCATGTCCATGAAAATTAATTAACTTATCCCAAAAGCGGAAGTTGTCATTTAGAAAATTTTCAAGTGAATTGTGTTCGTCGCGTGTCGTGCAGTCAACAAAGTTTTGACTGTCCACCAGGAACAGCCTGACAACTTTTAATCAAAGAGGAATTAATTTCACCAACTGGAACTGGAACTAGAAGTGGAACTAGACACTGCCTGTTAGCTGCCTGCCATTACAGCTGTTTTGCTGGTTGTCACAGCGACAGAGCGGAAAATGCTTCAAGCTTTGTGCTCCTGCTATTAGCTGCCAATTTGCCATTTACCATTAATTAATTTCCACCCATCCCCCCCTGAACTACAATCGACTGCAAAACAGTTTAGCCACACACACACACACACAAGGAACTTTTGTCGTCAATTGGTTGTGGGGGGAAGGACAAGCAGTCAAACCCCAAGACGTTTTCCTTTGTCGTCTGGCGGCTGACGCTGCTTGACCCAATGCCTTTCAACAGTAAATTTCCAATTAGTTTACATATTCTCAGTGCCAAGTTTTGGGCCCAAATTTGTGGACTGAGTTTCGAAGAGTTTCATAAATAGTTTGCCAAAGTCGTAGTGGGTGCCATATTGCGGTGCTTAAACTGCCACTCGACCAAGATGGATTGGCAAATGACTCAAAAGGTTCCTGAACTCTCCCAATTGTGATATAATAAAGTCTTCAGCTGGCTCGGCTCTGCTTAGTACAAAATGTGGACTCAGTTCCACCTTTAAAGTGTGTTCTTCTTTACTGTTTTCCAAGCAATTTAGCACCAAAATGATTGATAAAGTTTGCCACGTTCAAAGACTGTCCAAGGCAACAAAAATTGCTCGACCAAAAATGTCAGTTGCAGAGAAAAAGAAGAAGTTTTTGTCTGGCCAAGAGTTCTCCCAAAGAGAGAAAAAGAGAAAAGAGGTAGAACCCCATTCGGAGCTGACCATGTGCCAAGACAATTTTCATTGACACATGGAATTGCGATTGCAATTGCAATTGTGGTTAAGGAATCCGGGTAGCTGCACATCTCGGTGCTGCACTTGACTGGACATCAGTTCCTCGATTAAGTCCTGAATGATGTCTCCTGCTGCGAGCCGCAATGCGAGCAGTGCCAGTTGGAAATATATAAAATGAGAGCCATCACTTGAAGCTAAAGTTATAATATTTAAATAACATTTGTGTGCGCGGCAGGGGAGGCCTCCCTCGTGTGGAGTTGACTGGGGGTAAGTGGACCTATTTGTACGTGTGTGTGTGTGTGTTGCAATCAACGATGCGTATCGCTTAAAAAATGTAAAATTTATAGTTTATGCAAATATGAAAAATGCAACTGGCAATGCATAAAAATGCGCACGCACGCAAACTGACGCGACGAGACGCGAGGTTGCCAGGTTGCCGTTGCCGTTGCCGTTGCCTCGGCTCAAGCATACCCACATGTCACACACACACACACACACACACACTCGCACATGGACACGCACACATTCAGACATTAAATTATAGCCAAAGTTGGGCGACAGTTGCGTGGTTTATCGCTGACGTGGCAGCCGCTCGATTGTTGACTTTTGCTCAAGTGGTTAAAATTAAAGGCGCCACCAGGCAAGCGGAAAGCCATCCAGAACACAGGACAAAGCCAAGCAATTGAAACAATTGGATGATTGTCGGAAATCCTACGCCATAATGGTGCAAAATTATGGGCATAAAAACCCATTCGAAAACTACTTCTTGAGTGAGGCTTGGACACGGCAAAGATATAAGTTGTGTTTTGCTAGAAACCTCTTGAAAGTTCCACATAGAGTCTGACTCTTCGGTAGATTCGCAATGTTCAAACTTTCCACTTATAGCTCTAAAATCCCTGCTCCTGTCCCTTCCCTCGCACCGCTCAGACAGAGTCATTAGCCAAACAAGATCCGTACTCTTGTGAGCTCTTCAAAAGTTTGCCTCCCCCAAGTCTACTTCCGGTTTGGGGCATAACCGTTTTTTCAGCCGCTGCACGTCAACGCTGATTTCAAGCGTGGCACGTAGCACAGAACGAGACCCCGACCCGACCCGACCCCTAACCCGAACCGTGCACAAAGCGAAGGAAAATTAATGAAAAGAAAAAAGGCGGAAAAGCCCGAGGTGGGCGGGCGGTGTGTGTGTGTGTGTGCCTAGTTACAGTTTCTGCCAGCCACAGACGCCGATTCCGATTCCGAGCCTCGACTTCGTTGCCATTTAAGGAACGTGCAATGAGCAGCTGCAACGTCTGCAGCTCGGCAAATGCCATTATTGCATAGCTATAGCATCGGTTCTGCCACTGACTTGGGTGCAGCGTTGCGGGGTTGGGGTCTTGGTCTGGCTCTGGCTCTGGTTCTGGTTCTGCTTCTGTGTAGTCTGAGGTCTTATGGTGTGCCGCAAGTAAATTGCTATGAAACGCCCAACATACTGCACTTACACACACCCAACCAGAGAGAGAGAGAGAGAGAGAATGTGTGTGGTCTGGCTGCATGCAAGGACCTTCTGCCAGTTGCAATCATTTTGGCATGAATCACGTTTGATACGCACGAATTACCTTTTATGCGAAATTGAAATTATAATTTGTGCACGGCCTTGTAAACTGTACGTATACGGAGAGAGGCATTCCCCCTCTCCACGGCTCTCCGCCTAGTTGGTACTTTCATTTGAGTAAATCAAAGGGCAACCGAGCAGCAGCAACAATGTCGCCTGCGTTTTCCACCAAGGAGCAACTTTTCCGGCCAACAACGCAATTGTTTTTGCCCGCTCTTCAGTTTATTTATTCATTTTTTTTTTGTGTTGCTACTGCTGCTGCGGCTGCTGATTTTCCTTAACACTTTTTGAGCTGTTTGTTTATACATTTTTGGTTGGCCTCTCAGCGTCAGAGGGAGAGCTCCTTCTGCTGAGGGAGGCAGTTGGCAGAGTGGGAGAGACTTAAGTAAGCGGCTTAGGCGGCTAGACAAACCCCCGCAAATGGCGTTGGGCTTTTAGCTAATTGCTCTCCATTTAATTTGGCTCGTTGCAGGAAGCGGAAACCGCCATCACTGCCATGAATGGGCAGTGGTTGGGCTCGCGCTCGATACGCACAAATTGGGCCACACGAAAGCCGCCGGCAACCAAGGCAGACAGTGAGTATACCCCCATTACACAACCCATACCAAACCCCACCAACCCATTGTCATCTCAATTCGGCTTTTGCTTTTCCCTCCCCTGCCGTACAGTGAACGCCAAGCCGCTGACCTTTGACGAGGTGTACAACCAGAGCAGCCCCACCAATTGCACTGTCTACTGTGGCGGCATCAACGGTGCCCTCTCTGGCTTCCTCAACGAGGAGATACTGCAGAAGACTTTCTCGCCCTACGGCACAATACAGGAGATACGCGTCTTCAAGGACAAAGGATACGCATTTGTTCGGTAAGTTTTCTCAGACTACAGAGGGGGTACGCCATTGATCAGGCAATTGTTGAGCGATTCAACCCACCCTACCCCTCCATTTCCAGGGTATTAAAACGAAGCAGCGAGCATCTGTGCACTACATTAACCCTTTGTTACCCACAATTTTTGTGATTTGTTCACCTTTACCTCCCTTTGAACAAATTAAAGCGACTCTTCTGTTCTCCACGACTCCGGTGTGCGTGTATTGCGGTCTGTGGTGTCAGCGTCGTATTCCCATTGTCGTTGTCGTTGTCGCTGAGTGCACGCCATATCAATGTGTGGCACAGCCAACCTAACCCCCAAAGACCCAGACACAGACACAGCCACAGCCCGAACCCAAGCCTCCAGCCCCGAAACCGGCAAAAGCAGACCCAATCCCGATCCTAGCCACCCGCCGTTAATAAATCAACAACACTTTTACACCCAACAACAGCAACAACGAAACGAGGCAAATTTGAAGTTGCAAACAGAACAATGAACCGCAATAACAGCGACAACGATGGCACAAAAAAAGAGAGACAAAAAAAATAGTGCAGGATAGCTTACTTTTGGTGCACCAAAACGCCAATATACCCTTAAAGTACGATGATCCATTAAATTGTTTAATAATTGCTCAGGGAAAATATTTATTTGTGCACAAAAGAAAAATCCTACTCCAACTTTTGATTGAGTTTACATCGATCAGCAGCCTAAAACTGATCTTTAATGTTCCATTAAATTTATTACTTTAATTCTGAAATGTCTGCTCGAACCGTAACACCCTTTGGTAGTGTATTCCAACTGCATTGAGCGGTGCCACAAACAAAAAAAAAATGATGCTGCTGCCGAGGAGGTGGTTTGCAGATCGCAGCTGCCGTCACGAATGCTGATAGGGTTTTAATGGCAGCCGTTGGACCACGACGAACAGAGTTCAACCCACCGCAACAAGAGGGGTTGAGACGGTGCTGGTGCGGGGGTGGTTGCACGAGGGGGCGGTGCAACAGTCAAGGGAGCTGGAACGCATTGCAGTTGCTGGGCCATGTCCATGGGCGCCTTTTGTGCCCTGCTCCAAAACTCATTTGTGTGTTGGAAAACGTGATGCAAAAAACCAAGAGAAAACGAGAGCGAGCAGTGCGGGGAGAAAGTAAGAGAAAGAGAGTGAAAGAGGCAGGGGGAAGAGGCATTGTTTGGCATTTTGTAACATAATGAGCTCGGGGACTACAAGTGGACCCAGGCAGCAGCAGCAGCAGCAGCTGTAGCTGCTGCATCAGAGTTGCCCCGTTGCAGTTACTGCATCATTATAACCAATCCAGCAACGGCAACGGGCAACCACCACTGGAACCAGCAACAAAACAATTCCACAGACGCTTGTACCACTTTTACGCTTTTGTTCTGCTCCAACCCCACAACTTTGTGCTTTGCTCCTTCTGCGGCTCCCTGGCTCTTCGGCTTCTGGGTTAAACGGAAATTAAAGCAGGCCAATCTGCTTACTGCAACGTTATCCTTATCCACTCAGCCCCCGAACCCCACCAGACTATGTGTACCCCCAGTATATACTCAAATTTCGATTTCGATTTGCAGTTTCTCCACCAAGGAGGCGGCCACCCATGCCATTGTGGCCGTCAACAACACGGAAATCAACCAGCAGCCAGTGAAGTGTGCGTGGGGCAAGGAGAGTGGCGATCCCAACCATATGTCGGCCATTGCCGGCCAGGCCCTGGCCCAGGGCTTTCCATTTGGCTCAGCAGCAGCGGCGGCAGCTGCAGCGGCTGCCTATGGGCAGCAGGTGGCCGGCTACTGGTATCCACCGGCACCCACATATCCCACTGCGGCCCCGGCCAGCGCCCTGCAGCCGGGCCAGTTCCTGCAGGGCATGCAGGGCTTCACCTACGGTCAATTCGCCGGCTATCAGCAGGCCGGATACATGGGGTGAGCACCGCACAGACGAATCCTGCGGGCAGGAAAGTCTTTGCATTGGGCTAACCAATCGCGTCTTCCAATGTTTTTACTTGCAGAATGGGCGTACAGCTGCCGGGCACCTGGCAGAGTGTGCCGGCACAGCCGCAGTTGGCGGGCGCCGCTGCTGGCACCGCACCGCAGATCACCCAGAGCGTGGGCAGTGGGCTGCCACAGGCCACCGGAGTGGTGGCCTATCCCATGCAACAGTTTCAGGTCAGTCCGCAGGTGAGTGGTGGTCATTGATGGCCCGATGATGGCTAACGATTGTGAATTGTGCTTGTGGCTATTGCAGCTGGCGGAGGATGAGTGGCTGGCGCCTAGTTTGCTCGTGTAGCTGCCATGAGGCGTGGCCATGTATCCCACACAACAACAGCAGCAGCAGCAGCAGCTACAGCAGCAGCAGCAACAGCAGCCACAAGAGCAGCAGCAGCAGCAGCATCAGCAGCACCTGCCACTGTTGACCACGTCCGGCGAATATGTGAAGGAGCCACATTACCAGCAGCAGCAGCAGCACCACCAAATGCAGCCACTACAGCAACAACCAACACAGAACCACCATCACCAGCAGCAACAGCAGCAACAGCAACAGCAGCAGCAGCACCATCAGCAGCAGCCACACTACGTCCCTCAATTGTATTATCCCTCGCACTGGGTGCAACAGCAGCAGCAGCAACAGCAGGTGCAAAACAACGAGCAGCAGCCACCGGCAGGCGGGGGCATAAATCAAGTAACCCAAGTCTACGGGCTGCCAGAAGTGTAAAAATATTTGCAATTTGCTCATGGCCGATCCCAAGGAGATTGCCATAAATGCCTACAGCAGAATTGAATGCATAATTCAAGTCGCAAAACAACCGACCGAAATAAAACATAAATCTAAACAAATTGTTGATGGCTGCCTAGAGATTAGGCACTCAAATGGCAAACACAAACACACAGACAGAAGACAGGCCAGAAAGTGCAATAGTCATAATTAAAATTGATCTAATCAAAGATAACAAAAGCAAAAAAAACGAAAACAGAAAAGCATAAAATACAGAATACATACAAATAATAAAAAGTTATGAATGTGTGTTATTTGTGTCTATTTTTGATGGAGCTACAAACCCAGCCGCGGGTGGGTGCCCATCCAGTAAAAACAAACTCTAAATGTATTTTAGTAGGTATAGAAAATAAAGAAAGAAAACAGCAGTACATATGCATAGGTATGTATGTAGGTATGTACATAATATACCAGAGTAAGAATAGAGTGGGTGCTACATATAACGTACGTTGGTTATGATTTACCAAAGCAAAACAAAACAAAAACGAAAGGCTTGCTGTCTATGAATTACGTTTCAAAATGCAAAAATGAAAACAAAATACCTACAATCTAAGTGTACTTTAAGCTGAAAAGAGAAAACCAAATCCACATATAGTCTGTAGAATGAGAGATCTTTGAGAGCAGAGTTATGTTGACTGAAAAATTAATTTTTGAACATTGGTCCCTTACCCTGAAAAAACTTGACTTTACCAAATTGATTTCGCTCCGAAGATCATTCCGATTGATGTGCATAGCATAAGGTTACGAGGCAAGTAGTCATAGTCAGCTTCGATCAGTTGAGTCACAAATTATGAGTGTTTATCCAGCATTACCTAGAGAAATATCAAGAAATATGTAACTGAGTTAAGCACACACCACAAGACACACAAATCGAGTAGAATAATTGCACCGAATACATAATGACATATAGAGGAGGATACGAGGAGGCAGAGATAGATTATTTAGACGGACCCATGACTATATACAAATACTCCTAAACTATATCCATAGAACAGAGGCTACCACAGAGCACACACTGACACACTCACACACTCCCACACTCATAAGGTATTCAGATAAGAGATATTCATAATGTATCTGTGTTTGTGTAACGTGTAAATGTATTAAGAGAAAACCTAACTTTAGGGATAGACAGACAGTCACGACAGTCGGAGAAATCTAGCGAAATATTTAGCGAAAAAAAAAAAACAACAAACGAAAGAGAATTATGAGAGAGGAGGAAGAAAACGTGTAGCAAAAGCAAAATACAAAATTTAGTCAATGTTTAGCTAAGGATCGTAAGTGTAACTGCAAAACTATACACTAAATGTAAACCTAAACACAATTATTTATGGTATTTACAAAGGCAAACCAAGCATGAAAAGAAAAAACAACAACAACAAAACAAACCCAAAAACGAAAACAAATTGTAAACTATTTTTTACATACCAAAGAAACTAAAAACCAAGCAAACGAAAACGAAAATTAAAATGAAAACGATTCAGATGATAAAGAATATAAAATCAAAAAATTAGAACACTTTCAATTGGATGGATAGGAAGCGCGTCTGATTTCTATAAGTTGTGATGTGACAGAGAGAGAGGGAGAGAAAAAGAGAGCAAATCGATGTTGAGGACAAAGGAAACTGATTTATTTTTTCAAACTTGGCGAAGGCGGGGCGTTTTTTGAAAGCCAACGACAAACTGTGTGTATCGGGCGTATGCATCACTTTACATACACACATATATACAAATCTATATATATACACCTATATATATACATATATATATATATATATACTATAAATGTTATTTGAGCAGACAAGAAAACTGTGTGCAAGAGCAAGCTATGCATTAAAATATGATTACAAATATAAAACCAAAAAAAAAATGGATGCGTAAAAAACAAGAAATATGATGGAAAAATCAAATAAATTGTAGCTGAACATATGTTGGAAACGTTGGAAAAAAATATGGTAAAAAATTATGGAAAACGATAACGAAGTGAAAGGGGAGAAAATCAGTAATACCCTATGATATACATATACTAGCATAATTATATTTAATTATGTATACATAGTTACGGTGTAAGCTAAAGGAATACAATTAAATGATTCAATGTTGTGTATGTACATATAAATATATATATATATATATATATATATAAATCCATATAAATAATGACAAGAATTCAATGTGCGCATTAACAAAGGAAACAAACTAAAATGAAAACTGTATTGATATTTGCATAAAAATGTAAAAAACAAAAACAAAACCAAGAGAACACAAAAAAGCTGCAGGGGAGCATCAGCGTCAGCATCAGTTCCCGCCACGACATACATATGTCTAGATCATTATAGCGGAATCAGCCTCCAATCCAATTCCAAACCCGAGCCCAACCCCCCATACAGCATCAAGCACATTTATGGCTATATACGTACATACATAATTGCATTTGCGAGCGGGATAAAAACGAGCAGAGAAAAAAATATGTGAAGTGGAGAATTATGAAACGTGTGCAAGCAAAAGCCCATAATTATGTTAAGCGCCTATCAAAAGCCTATCCAATTCAATCAAAACTGAACAAAGCCCCCGCACACACTCAAATCCTTACATGCTCACAGCTATGAACAAACACCATCACACCATCACACACCCACGCACACTCACGAACAGAGAATGAGCAAACACATACATAGAAGCAAACACGTTAATATATGCATAGAACAAGGCGCTGCAGCTTGAAAGCGAAATGCAGTCGAGCCAGAGAGAAATAATCAAATAAAATGGAAAAATGTTAATCAAAAAAACGAAAAATGACATTAAAAAACAATTACCATGGTGCTTTTTATTTAATGGCTTACCTTCAAAAATGGTTTCAGGTGTGAAAGGAATGCAGTTCGCAGCGCTATTGATAAATATTTATCAATTGATTCCTGCTGCGCTTTTGGGAAGTTTTTTCAAAGCTTTAACAGTGCAGTCAACTAATTTTCTTTTTAACTTTCAAAAGGATAGACAATGGGTAACAGCTGCCGAAGTATGGCCGTAAACCGAGGTAGTTCTCCAGATATAGCGGAAGAACTATGATACTGAAGGGTTTACTAAGGAACAAGCTAAGAAAAAGCGTAGGAAAAGGAACATCAGAGCGTAGAAATAGAACAGAATAGAAAGGGACATAAGGGAAATATCTCAAGTTGAAGTCGATTAATATCTCGAAAATATTCTCTAATTACACCTCTTTTATATTAACCAAAATAATAGTTATATTTTAGCCATTTCCAAGACTAATTTGAAATGAAAAGAACAACTTATTTAGACCTGTCAACCCATACGATTCCTTGGCTTCTCTTTTTACACTGCACTGAAGGTAGCCTCCCCGCATAAAAAAGCCTCATGCCAGTCACGTAAAAGCCAAAAAGGTTCTCCCATATGTGACTGCACCTTTACAGCTTGTTTGCACGAGTGGCGGGGTGGCGGGGAAGGTCGAAGCGAAAAACGTTGCTGGCATTGTGCCTCATTGCACAACGGGAACTGTACAATTTCAATATTTTACTGCATTTTGCACTTTTGCGACCCCGCTGCCGATGCGACGAGTGCCACTGCTACTGTCTGCTCTCGGGGCTATGATATCCTTGCCTGAACACCCTACCCCCCACGGTAGTGTACTGCGTGAATCCCTGCCGAAACCGGCTTGTCCTTTCGGTGTACCCATGCTGACGTCCTGCCTGAATGGCAATCATGATGGTCCTGCCTGCCATGGCCACAAACCTGTTTAATATGCGCGCACAAAATGGCACAGCAACGAAATATAAATAAAGCAAATACAGCCCAGGCTCAGGCCCCGTCCCAGCCCTCGATCACACACTCCCTGTAAATGCATAAAGTGCACATGTTACTCATACGCCCTGTTGGTCGCGCAAAAACCCAATGCTAGGGGTGGGCCCCATTCGTGGGGCACGAATCCATTGAATCACACGGAAATTGTTGATGGAACTTTCGGAGAAGAGAACCCTCGGATCATCCTATTCTCTGCATAAGAGTCTCATATAACCAGCGGCGGGTACTTCTTGTACACTTGACTTGATGGACAGGCTCAGGCTCCTACCTGTACCTGACTCGCTTGTACACCAAAAAATGTTGCAATAAAAGCTAAGCGTATAAAAATCCACTGCATTAGCTTTTTTACTATATTTTTTTATTCTTAATCTTTTTGTCTGTTTTTTGTTGTTGTCTATTTTTTGTGTGTTGTTTCTTGCATTAAAAGCATAAAAGGACAACTGCAAAAGTGCACCTAAGATCCTAAATATAAAAACCAGATTCAGAGCCAGTCGTTCAGAGTTTTCATGTAGATTATTCTGGGCAGGATCCCCCATTCCATCCCATGCCATTCTCTTATCCAGCCAGGGGCCTTAACGATGACTGCAGGCATACGTCTGTTACTCCTGCTCCTTCTTTTGGTACTCCTACCCCCAAAAGAAGGAATCCCAATTCACCTTCCACCTTTTTATGCTCTTTTAATAGCACTTGTTTAGCAAGCAAACAACGCCGGCAACTTAAAAAAAATACTCCTTTCTTCTCACGGCAGCTCGCCCCAGGAGCTAACAATTTTTATAGCAAAAGTTTGAGTGTTTGTCTGTTTTATTAACCGTGCCTGGCTCCATGACTCCAT